TTCGATATATATATATATATATATATATATATATATATATATATATATATATATATATATATATACATACATATATATATTCATGGTGTATTATCTCATTAAGCTTTGAAAACGGTTCTCGTTTTGCGTGTTTAATTTTCGACGTTGAAAAATTTTTCTGATAGTGCCTATCGTTAGATTTTAGTTATAGGATTCTTAACACCCGAACAGATAAATTTTTAGAGATGTAGAACTCCGAGAATTTGTGTTTAAAGTTTCGCGTCTATTTCGTCTGAAACGTCTGATTTTACTGAATTTTACAAATATTTTTACTAAAATAAGCATGTAAATTCAACTGGTCAAGATACAAAAGATCCGCGGTGAACTAGCCGTTTACAGACTCAGACCTAAATTCCGAGATGTCACACATCACTTCTCGATCTGCTACAAATGATGGTACTCGAACCATGACATCACTTCTCGATCTGTTACTAATCATGGTACTCGAACCATGACATCACTTCTCGATCTGCTACAAATCATGGTACTCGAACCATGACATCACTTCTCGATCTGCTACTAATCATGGTACTCGAAACATGACATCACTTCTCGATCTGCTACTTAGATTCTCCGGAATACTCCCTGCATTGAGTATGGGTCCTCTACTTTCAGTAGTACGGGCCCATACTACCTGCCACATCTACCCATACTTTCTGCACAGACCATCCCAGAGTCCCTAAGTAGCTGCTCAACCTTCTCAATCACCAATCCCGACACACGTGCTCGCTTCCCAGAAAAATGCTCTACTCTATCAGCGTACTCATCTGACTAAAGTCACTTCCTAGGCTCTTCCTAGGTTCTCACACTTCTCCGCCATCAGCTGCTGAGAAACTCCTTATGATGCCAGTCATCTACCTCCTAAATATCGTCACATTCACTTGGTAGCTGACTCCCATCATCGGGAGTTCCACAAAGCACGAAGCAAGCAGCATTTGGGCATCGAATAAACACGTAAAACCCACTCTAGGTGATAACTCCACTTGTTCTACTCATACTCAAAAGATATCACCGAACTCAGCAACTCTACCCCTCGCGGGTATCTAACTACTCTCTCAATAGGCTCCACAAATGCTCATCTATGTATCTCTCCTAGATTACTCCTCTACTCAAATCCCTCTCTAAAAGGATTCATGCTGGATACTCTTACTCAGCACATGCTCGAAAGCACATCACAGATAACAGTAACTCCTAAGCTAAGGCATCACAAATCAGGCCACTCTAGTCCTAACATATGAAATACCTAGCCTATCTCTAGCATGCATAATATCTCATAGCATATCTCATAAATATCTCATAATACAAACGTAAGGGTATTTTGGGAAATCACCATTCGGGCTCTGGCTGATTGTACACACTGCTCCAACTCGTATTCTTTTAGAAACTCTTGCTCGTTTTAGAAAAATCATTTCCTTGAAAATTTTTCTCAAATCCTCAGTTTGAGTCCAGATCTACCCGAAGGTGCATCCGAATCCCTCAAACCAAGGCTCTGATACCAACTTGTAACACCGTAATTTTTCAAACAAATTTTTCATTTTACAATCGCATACTTTTCATAACATATTGCATAGAAATCTTGTTTATTCAAATTATAAAACACAACTCCATTAATAATCCAGGATCCTCAAAACATAACTCTTTCTCTGGTGTGTACACTCAAGCCGGTTCCTTCCCGCGATCCTCTGAGATACCTGAAACACATAACACATAACACGGTAAGCACGAAGCTTAGTGAGTTCCCCAAAATACTACATACAGCACATAAGCCACTCGAGGCTGTAGCTCTACGAGACCTTCCGGTCAATGTGTCTCAGGGGCCTTCCGGTCCCACAATCCGAGTAGACCTTCGGTCCTACTCTGTTGACCTTCCGGTCCATGCACAGCTGACCTTCCGGTCCATACCCTGTTGCTCAAAACATACATAACATATACATATCACATAGCAACATATATCACATACTCGCCATAGCACATAAGACCTTCCAGTCACACATAATTACCACCCTAGGTAAGGTATAGTGAGAAGACTCACCTCGGCTAGCAGGTGAGCAAATAACCTCGTGCTCGGATCTCGAACTAGCCTCCTCCTAACACAAGGATGAATATCTCTAATTAATACTCTTTTCATGACTCAGATAACCGGAGGCGATTCCTTCTCTTTCTAACTCTTTGAAGTGGGTAAAAGACCATTTTACCCCTCCAAGGTCTCTATCACTTATGTTGACCAAAACCCCAAAGTCAACAGAAGTCAAACTCGAGTCAACAGTCCAAGTTTGACCCGACTCGTCGATTGCACTCATGCGACTCGTCGAGTCCCCTCGTATCCTCAGAAGTCTCAAAAGTCCAGCTCAACTCGTCGAGTTGACCCCCAACTCGCCGAGTTATCGCACAATCAATCCATCAGGACAAACCCTCGCCGACTCGTCGAGTCAGTTCATGGACTCGGCGAGTCCCTTTGATCTGATTTCTCATTCAGACGATTTAATGCAGATCTATCACTCCAATCACTAGATCTACTATTCTAAGGCTCGATTAGCACGTAAAGCTGCAAGCTTTACGGTCATGCATGGCATGTAAGGCTCATAATGCCAAAACATGCTCCAATAAGGGCTAGATGTACAAGAGCTTGCTTCCAACTCAATAAAGCTCGGGTTTCTGGACTCACAAGGCCACTCATAGTCCAGATCTGAGGTCCCAACCTCAAACCATACACAAATCACTCCATGACACAAGATAAATGGAAGAAAGCCCTAAAAGTTCCCTTAGAACAAGATCTTATAAGGAAATGATCAAGATAGCATCTTTTTACCTTCAACTGAAGCAGAACTCTGAAGAATCTCTGGATCCAAAGCCTTCTCTTGATCCAAGCCAAGATGCTCTCCAAATCCCCTCTCAAAATTACACAAGAACACCCAATTTAGCCACTCTCTCTCACAATGGATGGAACTAATCTAGGGTTTCCCACAGGGCTCTCTGGAGATAAGGGAGGCGGAAATAAGGGCTTAAGGCCATTTAAATAGGGCACAAGTCCGGAAAATTAGGGTTTCTCTGCCCAGCGCCTACTCGGCGAGTCCCTTCTATGACTCATCGATTCCCCTCATTAAATCCACGCGGCAATCTCGACTCGACTCGGCGATTTGGACCCTTAACTCGTCGAGTCTCTTCTTCAACCTCAAGGTTAACATATACAATAATATTCCTGAAAATCTGGATGTTACATGAATATACATAATTATCTTAATGAATACATCATATTGGTATAATCATATGTGAATTTCAGTTGTAAAAAATATAATATTCATAAATGAATACATCATATTGGTGTATTCGTTTATTAATAAAGAAGAAATTAAGGTTAGAACATAAACTTATAGAAACTCCAACTTTCGAGAAGAATTTGTATGGTGAATTTCTAAAATCCCTTCCCAGTTCTTGGTGGTTAAGTAAATCAGCCCAAGTGTCTAAAACTTCTCCAAAAATCTCTGTGCTTGCATATAGACTTTCCATAATTACTCTTTCTGTTATCTGACCATATTTTTTCTGGACAACCACTTCTCTGCAAATATATAATCAAAATGCCATACATTATTATCTATATAATAATCATATATGAATGTTTCTAAAATAAAGTTACTTACGATGTATTCCCTTGCAAATTGAATAACCACTCACAGACAATACTCTCCTGATATGTCAGCTTAGGCTTTGTGTCTATTATTCTGCATTTGAAAGGTGATTTGAAAGCATCGGCAAGCTTCTTCTCTCTTGGTTCATCCAGATCAAGCTTTGATGGTCCTACTTCAGTAGGAATTGCTATAGAGATTGGATTTGGATTAAGAACATTTTTGTATGCTAATCTTATCACAACCTTTTGATGGTCGTCTTTGATTTGTTTCTTTGTAAGTGGTTTTTTTGGTGAAGATTCATTAGATTTTTTACTTGAAGTTTGATTTGAATCTTGACTGAGACCTAGACTAAAGCTTGGATGAGTATCTGCATGCCAGGAGATTTATCATATAAATAGTTCTAAGTTAATTATAATATTTTGTTTTATTTTGAAAAGTTTTTCCAAATTGTTACCTCCTTCATTTCATTTTGTCCTGTCAGCTTTTTCTCCTTTTTTGTTTTCATTTTCTGACTTTTTCTTTCCTGAAAGATAAAGAACCTATATAAATATGTTAATTTTTTTGATTAAGTAATTCATTTGTGAATAAGTAATGTATTCATTTATGAATAAGTAATGCATATCATTATTTATGAATAAGTAATACTATATTTTTTATTTATTCGTATATTGTGTTATTCATTTGTGAATAATAAAACTTATTATATTCATTTATTAGTGAATCAACTATTTACCTCTATCTTCTGCATTTCCTTTCTCAATTTACGTTTGTTTATCTGCACCTCCATCTTTCGTGTTCTTAGCTTCTGCTCCTCCTTTATTTCCATGTTCAGAGTTTTCCTTGCCTGAAACATATACATCATATATGAATATTTTATATTTTTTACTCATTTTTATAGTGTATTATTCACTTATGAATAAACAATGTTATTAAAAAAATCAGTATAAGTATTGTAATATATTTTAAATCATTCATTTACCTGTATCAACTCCCTTTGTTTTTTCAACTTCTTTTCCTTGTTTATGTACACATTTTGATTTTCCCTTTTCTGCAAGATCCATTTAATATTATATATTAAATATAATTAATTAATGAATTTGTGAATAAATAATAAGTTGATAGTAGCATACCTTGAATAACTTGACTGATCAGAGTATTAGTTTTACTTCTAGTCATTGGTGACCCTGGTCAAAATTTAATAAACAAAATTGTTATTGTGTATTAATATTTTTATATATTTTTATAAAATAAAAGTAAGTCAAAATTTACCTATATCAATATTATCCAAAATAGTTTTCATTTCAGGGTCATTCCAGATTTCATCTTCTTGACTATTTAAACTTGAAAATCCAATTCCAAGGACATTATCCACAATAACATATTTTCATTTTCAGTTTGTTGAATAGTCTCTTCATGATTATTTATTTCTTCAGCATCATCTTCTTTTTTCTCTTCATCATTATCATTTTTATTGTTCTTTGCATCTTTCTCTTTTACTTCAGTTTCACCTTCTTTTTGATTCTTATCTCCATCATTCTTTATTCCTTCATTCTCTGCTTCATTTGAATCAAGCAAATAATCTACTTCCGGTTGACTTTCATCATTACCATTGTATTCTTCACCATTTCCCTCTATATCTTCATTTTCTTTTTGATCATTTGGTTTTTGACCCATTATTGGTGTCAAATTGATTCCTTCAACTCCAGTTTCATTACTTGGAAATTCAAAAAGTGTTGTGCTTTCAGTTTTTTCTTCAATAATTATATTTGTCATCTTTTCTTTGAAAATCCTAAAACTTTCTTTTTCAGGGAACTTTGTTATCGCATCATTGAGTTTTGAATTCAGCTTTTTCTTCATCCTCTCAAAACTATTAAGCATTTTAGATAATTTTGATTCATATGGCTATGTAATAAAAAGAAGTATGATTAGAATTTAATATAATAATTTATGTAATCATATATTATTAACATGTTGAAACTAATTACCTCAACAGAATGATCTTCATCTTTATCAGAATCACTGTCTTCGAGATTTGTATCTCCTTCATCCTGTTCATTAACAAATTCTTCATATAATTCTCCAAGTCCAAATCTACATTTTTCTTGTTCAAATCTCTCTCGATTTCTAATCTTCTCTGAACTCCAATAACAAATTGTTGGACGTTTACGTGTTACCGTTAAAGCTTCTGAGTGGATGTTATCAGCATAGAACAACTGCACATAAATGATAACTAATTGATATTCATATATGAATAAGTAATTCAAACCATTACTTATTCATATATATATATATATATATATATATATATATATATTCATATATGAACAAGTAATCTTATTTTTTACTTATTCATATATGAATAAGTAATGTAAAGCATTACATGTGAACAAGTATATTTTACTTATTCGTATATGAATATGTGCTATTCAGTTATGAATAATTAATATTATTAAAAATTGAGTATAAACATTATAATAACTTACCACCAAGAAAGTTGAAGGTCCAACAAAGTAGTTGTTATCTAAGTATGGTATGTATGAGTTCTTTGTTCTGACAAGATAGTCCAAAACATAGCTGCACCAGTCTATGTTGCTGATATCTGTTTTTCTTGAAATATAACTCAAAGGAAACATGTTGCATCTTCCCATTGATGTTGACTCACAAAACGTGTTGAATAAAAAAACTAAGAAGTTCAATTTGAAATTGAAATCAGCTTCTGTGGTACTAACAGTAACTTTTTTTATTGCATTCATTCGGATGATTGCTCATTCTTTAAATTGTTGCTTCCATTCATCATAACTTGTATCATCTTTAAGCCATTGATCCAGTTGTGTAAGTATGGTTCCACCTTTTGGAATGCCCAACATGTCATGAACAGACTGTGTTGTTACTTTCAGTTCCTTTCCTTTAACATCTATCACCATTCTCTCAGAATCAAATTTTTAAAGAATATAAAATCCCAGCTTCAGTGGTATATCTGTGATTTTCAATTTTAGCAAACTTACAAAACCCATAGATCTTACGCATTCTTTTTGTTTGTTGCTCAACCCTAGGATTATAGATAGTAATGACTCTGGTGAACATCTGTTTTTCATCGAGTAAAATTCCTTTACCACTGGTGTTTTTTCTCTTTCTTGATTGGTGACTCCTTTTTTTTGCCTTCTTTGATGGACGACTACTTTCAAAATCAGAGTCTGAATGATGTAGTTATCGTTTTTCAGGAGTTTTCCTTTTTGATGGACTTTTTCTGCTTTGATGCTTTGTTTTCTTTGGTGTTTTTTTTTATCTGGGAAATGAAAACATATAATATTTGAATAAGTTATTGATATATGAATATGATATATGTTCGTTGATTTATTAATATTTATTTATTACAAAAATATAACTAAGATATACAAGTTTATTCATATATGAATATATTAGGTATGATAGGAATTTTGTACCTTTCACATTTTTCCTCTTCAAATCTGTTTCTATCATTGTTGTTGGGTCTTTATCAGAAATGACAATCTTCTTACATTCATACATTAGTGAGTAGAAGATAAATAATTTTGAAATACATTTTACAAAGAAACTATTTTATATTCATAAATGAATAAATGAAGATAACAGTTATATATATATATATATATATATATATATATATATATATATATATATGTGTGTGTGTGTGTGTGTGTGTGTTATATTTATATGTGAAGATACTGAAGATCAATCACCAATTTCAAAAGAAAAATGTTCCAAAAAAAACAACATAAAGGTATGAATAATTGTTTTCATTCACATATGATTATCTTTTGAATACAAACAAAGTTAAGTCATATATATTTATTATTATATGAATACAGGAATTCAATAGTTTTTTTTTATTATAAAACATATCCAGATTGAGATTGAAAGTATTCATATGTTAATAGAAGAAAATTATAGATGCGATATATAAGTTATTCATAAATGAATATAACAGATGTATCCATATTTATATATTCACATGTGAATATATATATATATATATATATATATATATATATCTATATATATATATATATATATATATATATATGTTATTTCATATGTGAAGATACTAAAGATCAATCACCAATTTAAACAGAAAAATGTTCCAAAACAATACAACATAAAGGTATGAATACTTGTTTCCATTCAGATATGATTAGCTTTTAAATATAAACAAACCTAAGCCAAATATAATTATTCATATATGAATACAAGAATTCAATAGTTTTTTTTTAATATAAAATATATCCAGATTGAATTATCCATATGTTAATAGAAGAAAATTATAGCTGCGATATACAAGTTATTCATAAAAGAATATAACAGATGTATCCACATTTATATATTCACATGTGAATATATATATATATATATATATATATATATATATATATATTCATATGTGAAGATACTAAAGATCAATCACCAATTTCAAAAGAAAAATGTTCCAAAACAAAACAACATAAAGGTATGAATACTTGTTTGCATTCAGATATGATTTGCTTTTGAATATAAAAAACCTAAGCCATATATAATTATTCATATATCAATACAGGAATTCAATAGTTTTTTTTAATATAAATTATATACAGATTGAATTATTTATATGTTAATAGAAGAAAATTATAGCTGGCATATACAAGTTATTCATAAATGAATATAACAGATGTATCTATATTTATATATTCACATGTGAATATATATATATATATATATATATATATATATATTATATATATATATATATATATATATATGTGTGTGTGTGTGAAGATACTAAAGATGAATCACCAATTTCAAAAGAATAATGTTCCAAAACAAAAGAACATAAATGTATGAGTAATTGTTTCCATTCAGATATGATTACCTTTTGAATATAAACAAAGCTAAGTCATATATTTATTCATATATGAATAGAAGAATTCAATAGTTTTTTTTAATATAAAACATATCCAGATTGAATTATTTATATGTTAATAGAAGAAAGTTATAGGTGGGATATACAAGTTATTTATAAATTATACAGGGATATAAAAGATATGATGTGTATTTTATACCTTTTTGATTTTTCTGCATTGATCGTGTTTCTCTCATTGTTGGTGAATCTTTATCGGAAATGTTAGTCTTCTTACTCTCATTCAATAGTGAGTAGAAGATAAATGAGTTTGATATTCACAAATGAATATTTGAATAAAACATATATATTCATATTTTTTATTCACATATAAATATGTATGTTATATTCATATGTGAATAGAACATATATATAAGTCATTTTTGTTGTATTCATATTGGAATAATGTATATATGACAACAAATTATGTTCTATTCATATGTGAATATAACATATATAATTTGGTTTTGTTTGTGTTCAGAAGTAAACAAAACATATCAAACAAAATTATCTTCAGCATCTTCATTTTCTATTGTATTTTTAAGTAAAATCTCATCTAAATGTTGACAATCACTTATTATGAATAAAGTTAATCAGATTTAAATGGAATACTTATTTTATTTTATTTGTTTTTTGTTAATATGTATGCTTCACTATTGGTGTTGTTTCTGTAAGGGTAAGTAGTTAATATTAAGAAAACATACGCGAAATGTGAAGTAACGTTTATATTTTGACAGAAAAGTTGTGAGTAATTATGAAAAATGAAGAGAAGATGTAAAATCATTTATATATCACCTAATAATGGATGATTCTTACAAAAATTTCAAGTAAATCAAGTAATAACGAAGAAGGGTTACGAGAATGAACGATTATCACAAAATTTGAAGTAAACAACCTAGTTTGAAGAATGAACAGTGTGAATACAAAATTTTTAGTTCTAAATCAACTAATAATGAACGACGATTACGAAAAATTTCAAATAATCAAGTGATAATTTTAGAAATGATTAGAAATCGTTAAAAATCGAAGAAAAAAACACTGATGATTACCTTTCGTAGTCAACAGTGAGAAAATGGTTTCGTTTATGTTTTCGTCGGAATACATTTTTCTTCGTTTTCTTCTTCTCGATGTTGAGAATCCTTTATGTTATTGAATCCTTCTGCAAATGATTTTCGTGTTATGGGGTATCGAAGAGGGAAATGATGGTTTTCTGTCGAGATTTGATATGTGATGAAATTACTCAAGTGCGCTGGCGGTTTAATGTTTTTGGATTATTTACAAATTTGTCACCGCTCATTAATGTATTTGGATTATTTACAAGTTTGCCATCGCGCGTTTTTTAAGCTCATTAAATGATTGACTGATAATGGTTTTCTCATTCTCAACCTTTTTTTTCACAATTGAACCCTTCTCTCTCTCTCTCTCTCTCTCTCTCTCTCTCCTCTCTCTCTATATATATATAGATATATAGATATATATATATATATATATATATATATATATATATATATATATATATATAACGAAATAGAAAAACTTGATATTTTCTAAAAGTAGGTGTTTACAAGTTTGAAAGGAAGAGCCGATAATTGAAAACTTTTGTATGGTAATCTAAAAATGCATATAAAGAGATTCTAAAAGCGTTCGTAATCAACTGAACTCAAGATTACCTTTTGGAATGTGTTAACACAAATTATATATATATATATATATATATATATATAGATATATATATATATAGGGAAGGGTTATTTGGAAAACAAAAAAACCCTAAAAATCATAAAAATGTATAAAAAAAATACTTAGAAATCACAAAACTTTTTTTTGCATTTTTTTATGAAAAAATCGCAAATTTTTTAATAAAATCGCTGAAAAAAAAATAAAAAATTAATTTTTTTTTTATAAAAAAAAAGAGGTTTTTTTTTAAAAAAAAATTTCAGCGATTTTGTATTAAAAGCAGCGATTTTTTCATAAAAAAATTCAAAAAAAAGTTTTGTGATTTCTAAGTATTTTTTTATGCATTTTTATGATTTTTAGGATTTTTTTTACGGTTTTTTGTTTTTCATAGAACCTAAACCTATATATATATATAGGCAAATTCGGAGACTGAAAATAATTTATGTGACATATATATATATATATATATATATATATATATATATATATATATATATATATATATATATATATATATATATATGTCACATAAATTATTTTCAGTCTCCGAATTTGCCTACCCTATTAGGCCGGCCGTGTGAATTTGGTTCATCATCATATTCAACGTCAAGATGGTTAAATCTGGATATTCACACCTTTACTATGCTAGACCTAAACTCCATTTTTATCAATCACAGATCTGGGTATGCAGGCCTCCTACAATGAAATCTGGATATCCACACCTCAACTAAGTGAATATAAAAGAGCCTACTCTAATGTTTAATATTACAAAAGAATATCAATGTATGTATATCATCCATCAATTTATCCTTTAAGGCCTTTAATTTGTTAAAAATGACATCGTTCTTTGTTTTCAATAAAACCCAAAAAATGGTCCCGATAAGAGCTTGAACAACCTTCTGTTTTTTAGTATTCGAGTCTGAAAATGAAGAAACGTTCTAAAATAGCTCCACGAAGGAATTTGGGAGCCCAAATTTGACATTAGCCCAAACTGAAGTCCATGCCCATAACCCCATTTGCAGTTGGACAGTGAATAAACAACTAGGTTGCATCTTCTTATTT